GCCTTTCACTGCCCAGGTGACCACTGAATCACGGTGTGACGGCTGGACATCGTTCTGGCCCGAGCCACGCATTTTACGAAGCTGAGGATTTCCCTGGGGTTGCCAACCGGGGAGGCAACCAGGGCGGGGACACAGCCCCACACCCAGGCCTGAGCTCTGGAGCAACGCTGTCCCCCAGGGGGGTAAACAGAGGTGTTACGATTGCCATAACTAACAGCTCCAGCGACACCACAACCTCAGCCCCTAGAATGTGTGGCCAGCAGGCCCTTTCCCAGATCGCCATCATCAGCATGGAGGGCGGCTCTGGGGAGGGCGTGGCTGTACTTCCTACAAGTAAAGCCTCAGTCCTCACCGCGGCCAAGGGGCCTTGCCCCCGCTTCCTTCTTTCTTACCCTCTTCTCTTTCTCTTACTTCTTCCCTTTGGTGGAGAAGTAAGTTTCCATTCGGACCGAGCTCACCCGTACTGATGAACAATGTCTTTGCCGCAGCAAGGTCCCCTGGGGAGGCGTGTGGGTGGGCTGGGGGATGCTCTCCTGGCTGGGCCCACGGGGGTGCACTCCTCTCCCCAGGGGGTGTATGGGGGGAACCAACGTTGCCCACAGCTGGGGGCCTCCACTCAGGACCCCCGGGAGGCACGAGCAGGACGTGAAAACCGGGGCCTGATGGCAGTGGAAGGGTGGGCTGGAGGGGAATGTGAGTTCCCAGGCCTGGGCTGTTAGGGAAGCTAACTAACTCCCGCCTCCCTGTAAAAAGCAAACACATCTAAAACAAACAAAAAGATTTATTTGTAAATGAAAGCGGTTCTCATTCAAGGCAGGGCTGCGTGTGTGATGGTGCGCACGCACGTGTGGGCTTGGGCTCCCGTTACACGGGGGAGGATGCCTTGGCTGGAGAGGAGGGGGAGGGGAAGTGGGGCGTCTCAGAGGAGGGGGGCGCCGGGAGGCGCGGTGGGGGGAAGGGAGTTGGCGTCATGCTGGTACTAGTTTGATTTATCCCTAATGAGTTCTCAGCACATGGCTGCTCCGGGCTCACTCCGGGGGCCAGCGCGGCCTCCCGTGGGCCCCAGCCCGCCCCCGACTCCAGAACAGACGCCACTCACTCAGAAAAGAGCCAATTTCCACACTGCACAGTCTGCTTCACTCAAGGGGAAATCACATTTCCCTGGGAGAGCCGGAGGCAGCGCTTCCCTCCCCAGCCTGGCCGGCTGCCACCGGGTACAGATGCAGAGGAGCTGGGCCCTGACCTCCCTTCTCCCCCAAAACAAAGCCCCACTTCCCCCAGCCCTCGCCCCAAATCTCAGGGCAGCCTCTCAGCAGCTGGGGCTTAGCCTTTGCCGCTCAGCTCAGCGAGAGAAGGAGATAGGGGGACGTCCGAGGAGGATGCTGCCGGGGCGGGGACCGGCCTTCCTTGCTCCCTCCAGCTTTGTCCAGGAAGCCAGGCACCGGGTTTGGTTTGAGGGGCTTAGAGATGTGGCGATGGGGTTGCTGGTGGTGTGTGTGGGTGCATGCGCTCGAGCAGGGAGCGGTAGGGAATCGGGATCTGCCATCAGGAGATAAGGACCTCCAGCATCCGTGTCCCGAGAGCCCCCAAGAGCCAGAGGAGGAGAATAAAGTAATGAGAAGAGTAAGAAAGCAAGCGGAAGGGATGGAAGGAGGGAGAAATGCTTCCAGCATTTCTGAGCAGACACGGGGAAAGTCTAAGCCCTCCCCACCATTCACTGCAGACACAAAGGTCTCTCAAAGGAATAATTGCTGCGGACTCAGCAGAAGAGGGACTGCTGAGATTAAAAGAGGTGGGAAAAGGAAAGAGAAAGGTGCGAGGGAAAGAGAGGAGGCGGCCTTTGTGGGCCGGGATGCTTTCATCACAATCACAGCGGCAGCTGCAGGTAGCAGGCTGGGTCACTCCCTGTCTGCGGGTGTCTCACAAACTGAGGCAGAGGAACAATCAGACCCCTGCCTGAAATGCTTTATGACCCTAAAAGTTGGAGAAGGGGCGGCCTGGGGGTACATTAAGGGTCAAGGAGGCGGCCCCATAACTCTGTCCCTCCCTACAAAGTGATGGGAGCCTGAGGTCTCTGCAGAAGCCTGGCCACATCCAGCTACTCAAGGACTTAGATTGGGATGCAGAGTTGGCCTTAGATTAGGGGTCGGGCTGTGGCCCCAGCTCCTCTGAACGACCTTGAAAGATCCAGTCATCTCTTGCTCTCAGTTTCCCCAAGGGCAAAACGGGGCCGATGTTCAGAATCGGAGACACAAATGGATGGGAATGAGTTTTGTAAACAGACAGAGACTAAGCCTATGGGAGAAGGGTGATTCTATCTTCTGAGGATGGGGGAGTTCAGGGAGGGCCAGGGAGGGAGCCCCAATCCCCGCTGAAGCTCAGGGCACTGACTCGGGACCCCGAGGTCTCCAGCCCCCTTGTCCTGTGCCCACCCCCAAAGGACGAGCCTTAGGAAGACGCTGGTGGGAAAAGTTGTGAGTATTTGGGGAGGGGGCCAGGAGGATGGTGAGGACAGCGGGAGAGGGGAAACCTTCGCAAGCCCCTCACCTTCTCTGGCCTCCTACTTCCCCATCTGTAGACTGTGGCCACACTCTCCTCTCACCTGAGGTTGTTGTGAGGGTTGAGTGTGTGTCTGGCACACGACGGGCAGAAGGTACGTGTTTTTTAGTAACAACCAAAGCCAAGAATATTGGCGAAGAGACAGGAGGGGCTGGCCTTGGGGCAGGACTCCTAGCCGCCCCTGCCTCCCCCTGCCGCAGGCCATGGGGTAGGGGCCAGAGGGTCACAGCAGCTCCAGTCCACCTTAGAAAGGTGTGTTCTGCCCCACTTGGTGGGCCCAGGTAGGGTTCTAGCTGCTCTGTCTCCCAGCAGGAAACGCACCACCATGCAGGGGCTGCCTGGCCCACACAGACCGCTGAGCTCCAGGCACCCTGGGCTCTCCTGGCCAATGCCAGGAGGGCAGGGGCCACTGGAGGAGGAAGGGTAGGGATGACAGACCGGGGAGTAGGGCCTGGAAAGCTGAGGAAGACTCTCCACACAGGCAGTGAGAGGGATGGTTCCAGGGTGCAATGGGGATGGGGCGGGGGGGGGGGGGGCGGTGAGGCAGGGCCCTCGCTGCCCTGGGAACGCCTCGGGCCCAGGCTTCGTCCCCAGTTCTCCCACCAACACACGCACTGCTCCCATATGCCTTCAGAAAACCCAGGGCCTCGACCCTGCTACAGAGTAAACTACCTCTCTGCCACTTCCCACGCAGCTACCCATGGATACTTCCCACACTCCCCAGCAGGAAAGCCGCTTCCTGTTCATCTGTGCCTCCCAACACCTGTCCTCCCCGTCCTTCCCCTCATACTCTTTCTTCACCACGACCCCGTCATGTACCTCGCCAACTTGTCCCAACACCACCCCTGATGTCAGGGCACCTGAGATCATCTCTCCCCCCAAGCACACAGACAGCTGTTATTTTCCAAGCCCCGAAGAGGGACCCGTGGTTTGACTGTGGACGGAGTGTCTGGAGCGCTACTGGCCAGGACCTGCCGCACACTCACCGACATCTGCTCTGAGCAGAGTGTCCCGGGGGGCTCAGCTCACCTCCGAGAAGGAAGGGGAGCGCTGAACCACGGTCAGCCCGCAAAAGCGCAGCCCAGGTCCCTTTGTCATTCAGGGCTTGGAGAGGCTGCCAGCGCACCAGGGTCCCCAGAAAGGGTTTGGCTGGGAATAGGAAGGATCGCTCTGCAGGCTCTGGGGGGGCACCATCCACCTCAAGGTGATTCCTGGGTGGGGACTGTCTTAGGGCTCTCAGGAACCCAGATATAATGGGATGCAGTCCTGCCACCATTGCTCGTGGCTGGAGGAATATCCTGTTATTGAAAACTGAGCCTCATCTCAGATCCGCTCAGAAGTCATGGGGACTGGTCTTTGTGGGGGGCCCACTCTATGCCATCCGCAGCGAGCATTCCTTGCCTCTCCTTTGGGAGGACCAGGGAGGTCAGAGGCCTGTCTCTCAGCCGCTGCCCTCCCAGCCTGGGAGCCCCTGGTTGTGGTGCTAGTGGGGGAGGAGGAAGCCCCTCCTCCACCTGACTCAACCTCAGCTGTTACTGCCCAGCTGTCGGCATTAATCTGGGCATCCTGCCCCCGGCTCCAGCTGGGTCCCTCACGGAGAGGGTTCACGCAGACACCAGGCAGCCGCTGGTGGGCCAGGCACCCTCTTGGGGGCAGAGACCTGGCAGTAACCATTGTGACTTGTCCTCTAAAATTTCACAGAAGGGGGTTGTCCTAAGTCCTTAGAGTAGCTCCCTCACCCCTTCCTGGCCTCAGCTTCCTGATTGCACAGTCTTGCCAAATACTTAGGAACCAAACCCAAAAAAATTAAACTCTCGGTGGCAGTCTCAGAACCTCCCTTGGGTCTAGAAGCCCCCTGGCATCCCTGATGAGAGCCCTGTGCTGTTGGGTGAAAGTGCTGGACTTAAGGTAAGAGGACTTGATTGAATCTACTACTTCCTGCCTTGGGCAAGTTATTTCATTTTTTTCTGAGCCTCAGTTTCCCCATATGTAAAATAGGGCAAATGGCGGCTTAATTTACGTGAGGCTCCATCCGGCAGAGCCCAGGAACTGTCTTCTCCCTTCCCTCCTCTCACACCTCAGGGATCCTAAGAGCTGTTTATGTGGGTTCCAGCGCAGAGCTGTTCCCGGATCTGCCTCCAACCTTCCCGGCGGATTCTCTGGCTTCCTGTTAATAACAACAGCAACTACCTGTGGGGAGTCTGTGATTGGCCGGGCACCGGGCCACGTGCTTATTTTATGCTCGCATTTACTCAGAGTTGGCACAATCAAAGCTTGGGATACGTGATTTGCCCGGGGCTGAACATGTCTCTGGGGCAGAGGGCGAATGCTAAGTCAGGGGCTCTCTCCCTTGGGCATTCGTGGTCCTCTCAATGCCCGGCCCCCAAAGTGAGTTCGCTGGCCACTGGGCTCTGAGGTTCTCTGGAAAAAAAACCCAGTCCTGGGGTGCCTCCTTCCCCAGCCAACCCCAAAGCTGGAGACCAAGAGTAATGGTTTATTGAGTCTTGTGGCAGTGGTGGTTGTCTTTAAAAAAAAAAAAGAAGCGTCAGGGGGAGAAGCCCGACATGGCAGGGAGACAGTTCACTGAGAGGAAGACGGCAGCTGGACTCAAGCAGACCCTCATTTACAGTATTTACAGTCGGGCCTGGGGAGCGGAGGGCAGGCACGGTGGGAGCCAGAGAGGAAACCGCCATGGCTGGCTTTGGGGGGTAGCTGTGGGCTCGGCAGGGCTGTTGGGAGGGGAGGCGGGTCCCCAGCCATGGTGCCTGGCTCCGCCCTGGGCAGGGCTGCACCCCACCCCCAGGAGCCCAGGGGCTTCGGAATGTCTGTCTCAAGCTGCAGTAGGCTCGGCCAGGCTGAGGTCTGGCCGCCAAGGGGTGGCTCCGTGTGGGGAGCCTCTGGGACGGAGCTCCTACATTCACCGCAGCAGGTAAAAGGAAGGCGGGTGACCACCTTGACCACCGGGCAGAGCTCCTGGTTGGCTGGACCCAGGGTTCAGCCTGTGAGCCAAGAGGGAGAGGAGTGGAAAGCGCCAGGCAAGCTGCCCAGAGAAGGTGGTGCGTCTCCGGGCGGCGGTGCGGGAGAGCCTTCGCACCCGCTGTGGCTCGTGGGCTGGACCGAAGCGCTTACAGCCCGCGGCTGCTAGAGTGTGTCGGTGATGGAGTCACAGAGGTGCCTCTGTGTGCCCCTGACCCCGTCGTGGGCCCCATGTGCCGTCCCTCTCAAGCCTCTGGCTGTCCCCTCTTCTCTCCCCACTTCTCCTCCAATTTTGTCTCTTTGGAACGGGACGGTTCTGTCCCCCTGGGACTCCTGCCCCTCATTAAGGAGTCCTGGAGGACAGCGTGGCCTTCTCCAACGTCGTCCGGTCTCTCATGGTTCATTAAATCAACCACACGGGGAGGGAGCCGTGATGCTGGATTTGTGGTTATTTTTCATGTAATAAATAAAGATTCCTTTGTGTGACTCTCTGGGGCCCGTCCCAGGCCGAGTCCTTCTGTTGCTCAGTCGCTCCCACTGTCCCCATGGCAACTACAGATGGTCAAAGGCCGCGGCAGTGGTAGGTGGTGCGCTTGGCCTTGTTGTGGAACTGTAATAATACGGGGAACCTGGACACGTTCGAAGAAAGAACAACAACACTGCTGGTCAGAAGGGGAAACTGCACCACAGACTCTCCCTGCCTCTGCCAACCTTTAAGACAGCACAAGTTAATCATTGATCCCTCGGGCCTATCTGATCATCAAAGATTAACTCCTCTCTGGCCCTATTTCCTCCTTCTCTGGCCTCACCTTTGAGTTTCTGGCCAGAAGGAGAACAGTGGCTTCTTGCCCCTCCCGCCATGACTCCTTTGACCTTCAACACCCTTGTATCAGGGAGAGGGCAAGAGAGAGCAGTTACATTTGGAACCCTGAAGAACCAAGTTCACGCGGGGAGATCACTGGGGCTTTCCCCAGCCTTGCCCAAAAGGTGCGAGGTCAGAGGATCTTCTTGGGAAGCAGGGGGATTGGATCCTGACTGGTCGAGGGGGATGCACATTTGAGGGCCCGCACCGGGCAGCTGTGCACACCTGCAGGATGGGCAGCCCGGGAAAGTTCCGTGGGAAGGGCATGTCTCAATGCCGTCAGCCTTTCCGGCTCCATTGAACAGAAGGGTGGCTTGAACTTATCTGGCAAACAGAAGCCAGCTCAGCCAGGCTCCTAGTCATTTCTGGAACATCAGGAGGTAACAGGAGGAGAGGGAGCGTCTTGGGAATGGATGGTCCTGCCAGGCCTGCGACGGTGCCCTTGCGGTTGGCTGTACTGCACTGCGGCTTCTGTCCGGTTCAGGTTTGCTCTGAGACCCTTAAGGCCATCCCTCACGGAGACTCCAGTGGGATCCCTCACGTTCCCCATTAAGGGGCCTGGTTTCCTGAAAAGCTTCTCTACCCAGCCCAGGCCCGGGGGGAGACAGGGGCTGATGAGCAGCTCCACAGCTCACTCTCTGTTCCTCCTGAAGGCTGTCCGCATCTCAAGCCAAACAACAGGAATGTGGCTGAACAGAGGATTTCTGCGTAAGGGCTCTGGTGCTGAATCGTGAGTATTTCTTAGATGCTTAGATGGTTAATGCGGGCAACAGGATGGCACTGTTTGCAATCAGGGTGCTCCGCGGCAGAGGGGCAGCTGGCACTCCCGCAGGGCGCCCCTGCGACAGCGCCTGCAGCTGTGGGACTCTAAGTCCCTGAAGGAAGGCAGTTCCCCTCCAAGATTTTTCTGGAGTCCACTCACCACTGCCCTCCCAAAGCCTGAGCCCTGAATCTTACACAAAACAAAAGATTTAATAGAAGATGGAGAAGAGAGACAGTGGTGCACGCAAGTCTCTCTTCCTTCTGCCTCTTCTCCCAGGCAACCCGGTACCCTGCCTTCCCTCTATCTGCTCGGATGACGGAAAACACCTGTCTTCCTGGGCCCTCCATCTAACTGGGGCCTCCCAGGTCTCAGGCAACTTTTGGCTCAGCCTTGCACCCCTCCTCCCCGCAGAGCAGAGGGCCTGGGAGGCCCCAGAGGCGACTTACTCAGCAAGCTGGAGTTGGGGAAGCGCCAGGCCTCGCTGTAGGAGGAGTAGGGGGTGTGGCCATAGGCGTTGCCAGAGTATTCGCTTCCTGTGGGAAGAGAATGTGAGACCCATGAGGTGGAGGCACCAATGGAAGGCTGGGGATGGGGGACAAAGGTCTGCAGGGCAGGCATCGAGCAAGTCCTCCTCCATCAGTCCTTCGGGGGCCCCTCAGTCTGCATCACGTGGGGCAGTGCCTCTTCCATCAGGGACTGGAGGTACTGCCCCATCAAGATCAGCCCTCCCAGGAACCCCAGGACGTCGATTTTAGTATTGTGCCCATTTTCCAGATGAGGAAACAGAGGCTTGGGGATCCGCAGAAGCTCACACACATGGAGGGTTGGGTGGAATTTGGAAGCTGTGCTGTGACCAGGGCCCAGGTTCTAACCACTTCTGCTGCTGCCTGGACCTTCTGTAGAAAGGTCTTTCCAGGAAGGGCCAATGGGAGTGAGAGGGGTTAGGGGTCATGGAAGGACTCAGTAAGGATAAGCTTTGTAGCCTCCCTAAATATGGTTTGTGAGGGAGGGGCGTGTGTTCGGTGGTGGTGGGGTTGCTGAGGGTGAAGGGAAGGAGAGGGGAGGGCATCTGAGTCCTGGGACTGGCTCCATAGAGATGTTTGTCTCATTTCAAACCTGCCACTGCAAGCAAATTCAGTGCACGATTTATACAAAGCAAATCATATCACCTCTTTCTGTGACTGGATTCTTGGCTTCACCAAAGGAATTACTTACCAGAAAAATTACTTAAGAATTCCTTTAAATAACAGAGCAGACCACCGCAATTACTGTTGGGGCTTGGGACGGAGCGTAAAGTTGGCAAAACACTTTCCCACACGGTAAGCCCCTTTATGCTCATAACCTTCCGACAAAGCGCTCATCAGTAGCGCCAATTTATAGAAGAGGCAATCAGAGTACAGCACGAGTGAGTAGGGGGCCTCAAATCACACAGCTGGGAAATGGCAGAGCAGAAGTTGACCTGAGGGCTCTTAACTTGAAATCCCAGATCATCCATTTATGTACTTAGGAGACAATTTCATCCACAAAGCCAGGTTCCCGCCAACCCTGAGCTCCGGTGAATCCACACTGCCTTCCAGAATCTGATCTGCTGTTGTGAGCCTCGTGCTTTCTGTGGTTCCCTCCTGATCTCCTTCCCAGAGTCTAGAAGAGAGGCTCGAAGCTGCCTGGCTCTGGAGCTGGCCTGCCTGGAGCCAAATCTCCATGCTCCACTTCCTAGCTGTGCAACCTTGGACAAGTCACTGAACCCCTCTGAGCCTTGGTTTCCTCATCTGTAAAATGGGGCAGATTATTGTCCCTATCTCATGGGGTTTTGCTGAGGATTCAATCTGATAACACATGTCAAATGCTTATGAGCACCATGCTTGGAATATAAGAAGCAGTGAAGAAATGCTAGCTTTTCTGATTTTCCCATTAGGTAGGCGCTGAAATAAAGCTCAGTAGAGCCTCACACCAGTCATCCAACCAGTGTTAAAGCCTGAGCAACAGGAAGTTCCTTAGGGGCGGGGACTAAGTCTAACACAGGTCAGGAGCCCAAGAAATACATGTATAAGAAGGGAGGGAGAAGAAAAGCAAAGGGATAAAAATAGAAAGACAGAAACTAAGAAATGATCTCATCCAGGGATTTCCCTGGCGGTCCAGCGGTTAAGTCTTCGCCTTCCAATGCAGGGAGTATGGGTTCGATCCCTGGTCGGGGAGCTAGCATCCCACATGCCTCGTGGCAAAAAACCCAAAACATAAAACAGAAGCAATAGTGTAACAAATTCAATAAAGACTTTAAAAATGGTCACATCAAAGAGAATTGTTTTAAATTAAATATAGTAAAAAGGAAAAGAAATGATCTCATCCAACCATTCATTTCACAAGTGAAGAAGCTGCTGCGCAGAGAGGGACATTTGCCCGAGGCCACATGCTCCCTTAGGGCCTGCTAGGACCCTAGCCCCCAGCACTTCTTCTTGCGTTCACAATGCAGCCTGTCCTGCTTACTGCTGGGTTCAGCGCACCCTGGAAGAAGCCGATTCTACGTTGGTTGCCCAGCAACGCCCTCAGGCTTTGACTCCACCTCACCCAATGCCAACCTCAGCGGCTCCAAAGGACAGGAAGAGAGGTGGAAAGTCCAATGTGTTTGCCCTCTCCCTGTGTTACTTCTTCGTGCATTCACTCACTCACTCGCTCACTTATTCACTTATCCAACACACGCTTACAGAGTACCTATCTGCTTCGGTCACTTAGAAGTTGGAGTAGGGTACGAGACTCAGGAGGTGGTACACCCCCTGGCTGCAGCATCCTCCCACCATCAGATCTGTCAAGCCCCCTGCAGCCAAAGCAGATGAAATGTCCTTGCACCCATGAAAGGTCGACCCATCCTGTTTGCTCTGCATCCTGCCTCACTCCCCTTTCTGAGGATTTGGTCCCTACAGTTTATCCCTTCTCTTTACTCTTCATCAGCGTCTCCCTTTCCAATTCATCACTGCCTTAGCCAGCATACATGCTCCGCCATCTTCTCTTTTAAAAATCCTCTTCTTACCCCACATTCCTCTCCAGCTACCAGCCCTTCTCTGCTCCATGGTCTCTGCCCTCACCTCCTCATTCCCCTCCAATCAGGCCAGCGCTGATCTTTTCAAATCTCTGCACCCTCTACCCCGATCACTCCAGTGGTCACTTCCGTGTCCATCACCCCCCTCAACCTCTTAGCCGACTTTGATTCAGTTCATCACTCCCTCCATGCCTTTGGGTTCCATGATGCCAGTTCTCCTGGTTGGCCTCCCAACCCAAGGGCCTTTCTGACTCCCTGGCCTTGCCCGTTCCTTCTCTGCTATGTCTCTGAATGCTGAAGAATCCCAGGGCTGGGTTTGTGAGCCTCTTGTGATTTTCCATTCACATTCTCTTTCTAGTGATCTTGTGTAATCCCTTGGCATTAAATAACAGCTTTGTACAATGGCTGAAATTTATGCCCTAGTCAGGATTCTTTCCTGACTTCAGACACACATCATATGCCTACTGATGTATCAAACTGGTTATCTAGGTGGTGTCTCAATCCTAATATGGCCCAATAGAACTCTTGACTTCCACATGCCAAATACTCTACCTCTTCCTCTTCTAACCTCCCACATTTTCACCACCATCCATGCTGTTTCCCAAGCCCCAAACCAGGGACTCATCCTTGTTTCCCCTGTCATTGAACCCCTACAGCCAGTTCACTAGTAAGTGCTGTTGGCTCTACCAACCTCAGTGTCTCTGTTCCCCTCCTCCCCTGCTACCTCCATGGCCCACACCACTGTTATGTCCTGTATGAACTACTGCAATTGTCCTTCAATTGGTCAGTTGGTCTCTGTGCTTCCTCTTTTGACTGTCTGCAATTTGTTTTCCCAGTGGCCTGAGTAGTTTACAAATTCGACCCATCCGCATACAACATCTCCTCATTCTGCAGTGCTTTCGTCACTCACTCACTGTTCTTGGATATCTCGCCCTCTTTCTCTGTGTGGTCATGCTAACCTAGTTCCCGCCTTGGGGCCTTTGCACTCGCTGTTCTTTTGGGCTGGGGTCGGTCTGCCCCGGTTTATCACTTGGCTGACCGCTTTGAACACCTTCTCAGAGAGGTCTCTCTGGATCACCCAATCTAAAGTAATCTTCTCTCCCTGTGGCTCTGTATTACATCATCCCATTTTATTGTCTTCCAAGTGCTTATCACTATCTGAAATTATCTTGTTTATTCATTCACTGAGTTTTTTACTACACTTTTTTTCTCCACCATTAGGCTGTAAGCTCCTGTCTTGTTCACTGCTATATCCCCAGCATCCCATACCATAGATCCTCAACCACTATCTGTTAAGTGAAAAGTGAATGGATGGTAGGATGCAAGGATGGTTGAGAGGGTGGATAATGGATAGATGAAAGAATGGATACGTGAAAAGATGTATGGAAGAATGGATAGAAGGACGGATGGATGAATGGAAAGGTGGATGGATAGATGGATGGATGATGGAAGGATAGAAGAAGGGATGGATGGATAGAAGGATGGGTAGATGGATAGGTGGATGGATGGATGGGTGGAAGGAAGGATGAATAGGGGGATGAATGATAGAAGGATGGAAGAATAGATGACAAGATACACGGATGTATGTAAAACTGTGTGTAAAGATGGATGGATGGAAAGACGGAGAGATGGATGGATGGATCCATCTATCGGAGCTCTCGGTACAGCTCCAGAACTGGTTAGAGGGTCATTAACTGTATCAATGAGACAGGAACAACAGCAACAACAATTAGAAGGCACAGGAGAAGATGAATGGATAAGAGAAATCTGTGCCCTGGTCTGGTTCCTACGTCGCTCTCCTATAACACATGTCATTATTTCCGGTATGGTGGGAAGCAGCGTGGTGTAGTACGCTAGGTTTGAAAGAATGCTAGATTTGAAATCAAAAAAACTGTGTTTGAACAACCCAGCCCCTTAGCATGGTTACGAGCCCGAGCACACTGCTTCGCTTTTCTACGCTTGTTTCCTTATCTACATAAAACTAAGATCATACCAGCTTCCCAGTCTTATGGTGAGGGTTAAATGAGAAATAAATGTATACCTATGAATGGCCGGGCACACAGAAAGTGCCTGACAAATGATCTCTTCCTTCCTTCCACAATTGATTGAAGAATGTCATTGGTATGCCCCACTTTGAGCACTCTGTCTGTACCTAGCACACAGTAGGTGCTCAATGAAGGTTTGATTTTAATGGAAGGAATCTCGCTTCAGTCAACTTGGAGATTGTAACCACTGGTAAGAGATGGACACGAATACTTTTTCTATAAAGAAATTCCTTAAGAATTCATTTGCACCATGGAGTTACTGGGAACCAGGGATGCATTTAAATAACATTGTACTTTCTGAAAACTGATTTGCATGTAACTTACTGGGAGCCCATCCACCTTGCCAAGCAAGCCCCCTCTTGGAATTCACTTTGCAGTCCGTGCTGTACTTGTGTTATTTATTTTTTTCCCACAACACCCACTCAGGGTGAGGTCTTTATGGAAACAACCTGGGGGCCTTTGATGAGAGGCCCAAGCCTTCCAGCTACCTCACAGGTCAGACTCTGGGCCCCAGGAACCACCCCTTGCCCTGGGCCTGCCCCCGGGAATGATCCATAATTAAGAGAAAAGCCCTGTGCTTTACATCTCTTCCTCCCCTTCTAAGCAGGCGGCAGGGAAAGGTGGAGAGGTTGGAAGGGGAATGGGGGGAGCCGACTGGAGCCTGGGATTTTGATTGAGGGCCCCATTATCCACACTCTTAAAAAAATAACCAAATCTTTTCCTTTTTTATCTGGACCAATCTCATTTCACGCTCCAGAAGAGGAAGGGAGGGAGGGAGGGAGTCTGGGGCCAGGAGGGAGAGAGGAGTCAGTATTCTGTATTTTCAACGCTGCATTAAGCACATCGCCACGGTAACCAGGCAGCGACAAGTGCCCGCTCAGCGGGTTCCCAGGGAGCGCAGAGCCTCCTTCCCTCCCGCCCTCCTCCTCCCCTCCCTCTGCCCGGGAGAGCCCAGCCCACCTGCCTCGCACAGGGCACCCGAGTGGGTGGCTGGTGAAGAATAACCCCTGCCAGTGGGGGAGGGAAGCAGGCCTGGGTGAATGCCTTGAGTCTCTGGAGTCAAAGCCAGAGAGGCTGCTCCAGGGCTGGCAGGAAGGTCACAGATGCCCTGATTGATTCAGAGCCCCTTCCAGAAGCTCCAGGTCCTCAGGCCTCTCTGGGCGCTGCGCATGGCTCTATTCGACCCTATCCATCCTGGGGTCCTTCCTGTATGTTTCCTAAAAGAGTGACACTCGCCCGAAGAAACTCTCATTGTCTTTACTTGCCCAAACCTTGATACCCTGGGTCACTGCTGGGTGATGACCACACTGGTGGATAAAGAGACCCCAGTGACTGGCAGGGAGGATCCCAGGACAGTCCAAGTGATGACGGAGAAGTACTCCCAGCTCGTCTCACACTTTATAGTACCTTTGGAGCTCTCCGGCCACGGGTCCTGCCCGTGCAGGGTTGAGTGAGTGTGAGGTGTGAAGAAGGTTGTATTTCAACCGTCTTCATCGCCATCATCACCAACACCACGCAAACTCAGACTTTACAGGAAGGGTAGATGGGATTCACCAGAGTGGAATAACTGGGAGACCACGGGCTGCTTGTAGGCTGGGTTTAGGTTTAGCTCACAGTGTTCCGATGGCCCCCAGCGGCCTCCGCATCAAGGCTCACTGAATCACTGGAAGAAATGGCAGAGCTCCGATCTGAACACCAGGCTGTCCCAGCCCCTCCCTTTTCATCACGGTGGGTAACACAGGAGCATCTGGGAAGAAGGGGGCTGAGCTGGAGAGAGTTACGGAGCCAGGACTGCACTGAAGTCTCTTCTCCAGGCATTTATAAGAAGATACACCTCTCGGTCCACGCTTCCTTGCCCTTCGGGAAGCCTATGCGAGGGGCACAGCTCACCTCTCTTGCTCGGCCTGGGGCCGCCACTTCCTCTTTGCAATGCTTCCCCTCCTGCCCAGCCCCTCCCCTTACCTGCCACCATGCCTGCGATGGCAGAAGAGGCATAGCTGCCCTGTACACTGGTGGGGATGTGGGGTGGGTATCCAGGCAGCGTGGGCCCCACCATCTCTCGCCCTGCAAAAATACAGCAAAGTGTCATCAGGTGGGCCACTGTGGGCTCCTGTGCTTACTGTCTTGCTCCCCCGGGGCTCAGCAAGCCTTCCCTCTGCCATTCCCGCTCTCTCCCGAGTCCTTCTCCAGACCCACTTCCTCCCCCGCCCTCCTCCTCTGAGCCCAGGCTCCTCTCTCCTTGGTTGGCCTTGACCAGGCCACAGGCTCCACCATGCAGGGTGTCCTGGTTACTGCAGTCCTCTATTGTTCCCTGTTCTCCAATGATTTTATTGACACAAATCTTATTCATCCATAAAAATGTCATTGGTATCGGAGGGAGGCTGAGGGCTATGTCTTCTGGGTCTTTGTGGTCCCCCATGGCATCCACATAGCAGCCGGCACAGCCTGACCTAAATAAATATGTTAGAGGCCACTGGACTCAAAGCTCACATCTCCAGCTCCAAGGAGAGCCGGGAACAAGGCCCTGTGAAGGGACGGCAAAGGTGTGTCCTGTGGGCCAATCACTCTCCTTTTTCAAACGTGTGGCAGATATCGCTAATCAATCATTGCACTCTTTGCTGAGCCAGAGGGAGGTTCCTGCCCCTGGACCTGGCCTTTCGGGTGGATACAGCCTATCAGAACTGCAAGAGACGTGAAACATATTGCCTTTTCCTGACCTGGAAAGGAGATGTGGGCTGACAGACAGTGTTTACACATGCCCATGAACCACTGACATCTGTCCATGCCATTCCTGAAAAGAACCATCTTTCTCTTTGTTTATCTGTAATTTGTGGGTAATTCTCTGGCCTTGGTGACACAGAGGCTGCTCTGTGAAGCCCTGATTTCCCTGGCTTTGCCTCTCCTCGACATCAGGTAGTCAAACCTTCCCATTCTGGAGACCCCACCTGACCTGCTGAGTTTCTCTCCATCTACACCATGTGCCAACAACCACCCGTGTCCCTTCTTCCATTGCCCCATGTCCTGCAGGCCCATGAGATTCTGCCTCATCCAAGGACTCTTGGCCAGGTGACAAGGCATCCTGTTCTGCCCAGGTCATGAACACTGTCCCAGCATATTTAGGAATAAGTCCATTCCACTCTCAAAATGCCCCAGTTTGAATGATGAAATTATTGGGTCGTCCTAGCTCTTGGTGACGTTTACAAGGTTTCTAAACCTCAGACCTATCGACACTTGGGAAGAGATAATTCTCTGTGAGGGACTGTCTTGCACATTGTAGGACGTTGGGTCCACCCACTAGATGCCAGTAGCAGTTCCCACTCAGTGTGACAACCCAAAATGTCTCCAGATATTGTCATATGTCCCCGGGGGGCAAAATCACCTCGGAATGAGAACCTGTGTGTTAGATTATCACCATTACCAGAATGTTTTTACCTTTTCCACACTGGGGGCTACCTTCTCTCCTAGGACTTACATAGGCTCGCTGTGAGCCTCTGTCAACCGACTTACCAAGTCCACCCCTTCCATGGCACTGTTTGCCCAACTTTCCTCCCATCCATCCCCCAGAGGTCCTTCATATGTCGGGCCCTTCAGGGGGTGCCTAGTAACAATGGGAGGGAAGGTACCTCGCATGGAACCCTGTAAGTTGTCAATACAGCAGTAACTCCCTCCCTACCTCTATTTCTAGAGGTTCCCTGAAGACAGTTCATTCATTTGACAGATACTGATTGCGTAACTCTGATACCCTAGGCACTTTTCACAGCACTTGGGGATACAGCAGTAAGCAAGAATGCTAATTAGCAAGGCTAGGCGCTAAGTCATGATGGGGATAGACTGGGATGGGCATTGGAGCCAAGTCCAAGTCTGGGGGGGTCCACAAACAAGACCAGGCCTACTGGACTTCTGCCCTTCCTCTGAAGGGAAGGGTCTAGGAACCAGAGGACTTTGGTCCTCATTCTGCTTCTACAACTAATTTTCCAAGTGCCCTAGACCAGCCACCGACGTACCCCAAGCCTCAGTTTCTTCACATGCAAAATGGCATAAAAAATAAGAGTAGCCTTACACAGCTGATTACTATTACCAGAATGTTATCAACATAATTCAGAGCTAAGGTGTCATGCCACAGGTGAACACTGATTCATGCAATGGACACATTCTATAAATTGTTACATGTCAAGGGAAACCTTATAGAATAAATCCTATTGGAAAGGAGCCATCGATTCATTATTTAAAACTCTGTGAATGTTTTGGTAAAAATGAACAACACCCCCTAATTTCCTAATTTGTTTGAGTATCATGTCCAGCAGTGGTCGGTGCTGGACCAAACAGAAAGGAACCCACTGGAATTCGACAGATGGGTTCAGTTCACTTGACACAGGCCTGAACAAATGAGGGCTTGGCCAAACAGGTGAGGAAAGGGAAGTTTCAGTATATTTAGAAGGAGAGGGAGAAGTAGGCAGAAGAGACACTAAGGGAAAATCTGATCTTTCTTCGAAAAAGACCGCAATACGATCAGCTCTCAGAGTCAGCCCCTTGGACCCTGGGATGAAGCCCCTGGTCAGGTACCAGAGCCCATGAGAGGCGAGGAGGGACATGAAGCCTGTGCGGGCAGGATGAGGACACATGGTGTACGTGACATGAGTAGGACAGTGATGGAATAGGGTGGTGGCTGATTCGGGCCTGATGCCTTTTCCCTTTCCTCTTCCCTCCCTACTTCCGAGAGAGACAGACAGACAGACAGACAGACATCTAGGTCCAGATTGTGGCTGAGGAACAAAGTACTTAATTTTCCTGACCCGCATCTTCCCGTCTGTCTCATGAGGAGCTAGGCTAGATGACAGATTATAAATTGGGGTCACCTTAATTAATATTTGACTGATTGGTAGGGGGCTTCCTGGTGCATTGTGTTGAGAAGGATTCTGAGGCTGCATCTGTGTCTGCCGTGACTGGGGTTGGTGGTATATCTTGGCTCTCAGGCCACCTATTGGCTAGGGCTGGCCTAGGTGCTCTGCAGAGCTCTTTCCGGCCCTGGAGCCCTGTGGTCCCACATTCCCCTTCATTCTCCTCTTATCCTGTCCCTTTCCATCACCTGGTCCTGCTGCTTCTTGAGCTCTGCAGCTCAGTGGGCAGAGCACCAGGGTGCAAGTTCCCCTTAGCCACAATTTAATTTAGTCACAGCTGCCCCCATGAGTCCCGTCCCACGAGAACTAGCTCCCAAACTGCTCTTTGGGAAACGGAATTCACCAGCCTCACTCCCCTGTATTCTGAGATTTTTAATCTTTGTCTCCCCTTAGTCACCTAACTTTCTCCCAGTGGGACGGAGGTTTCTGAATCAGATGTTGGAGCAAACTCCTGAAGGCTTCCTCCCCTGAAGCTTGGCCCCCTTGAAAAGCCTCCTGAGACAGTCTTCAGGACGGCCTTCACCCGGACTCCGTACCATCAACTTTCCCACCAGTCTCGCAAGACTCCGCTTCAATTCCTTAAACATGTTGTTTTCTCCCAAAGCCAAGAACTTTGCAACCTTCTTAGAAATGAAACCACAGAAGCCATAGGGTGGAGGCATCCTTCCACGGCCTATTTTATGGACTTAATTGATTTTTTAAGGCTCTTCACCACAAGTTTATCTTTGGTTTGTAATTCCATCTCCTCTGTACTCAAATATACTTCCAATACAGTCCTATGTTTAAGAAGCTGACACAGACACAGGTCGACGTTGACTGGCTGGGAAATGGGGTTTTAGAAGAGAACGCTAGCACCTCAGAAATACTGGTAAATGTTCTAAATATCGGTAGAGGCCAGGATCAGAGCCAGGACTCGCAGGAATTCTGAGGGTAGAGGTGATTTCAGACCATTTCATCCGCTCCCTTTGATGTCTGCCCTCTCTGTGACCTCTTTTCAACTCCTTATCTTGCCCTGATAGCAAGGAGAATTTATGGCAATCCAGAACTCTCTTTGGCAGGATTAAATATAATTTTGCACAAAAGGATGGAGGCGGGTAACGGGCTCTTTGATGATAAAACCGAAGTCAGGGCTTTCTCGTCAGCTGAGCGGGACTCAGCCCCGGTACAGCCAGGACAAGGACGGCCTCAATACTGCTCTCGGCCAGCGTGCTGGGACCCCATACTGGGGCATCTGACGGGAACTGCGAGTAGAGTTAGGAGAAATCTTCCTGTTCTCCAAACCCTGAGGTTTCTTCTTTCTGGGCTGATTAGGGAGAAGTTGAGACCCAGAAAATACCACCCCAGACATCGCACTAGCAGAGCCGCTGGACCGGGAGGGGACTTGACCCCGGGGATGCAGGCAAAGACTTGGCGGGAGGTGGCAGGCAGGGTTCATAGGAAGCTACTCAGAGGAGAGAGCTGGGAGGGTTCATGTAGGTGACATTTCATTATGGAATGAAAATGTACCTGGTCCTCCTTCGTCTCCTCTGTCTGCAGCATCATTACCTCGGATTAATTTGGGCTTGACTTCCTTCCGTTTTTTTCAAGCTCATCTCTTCCTCCTTTGAATAGGTTTCCAGCCCCCAGACTCTTGAGATCATTCCCCTCCTATTTTTTTTTTTTTTTTTTTTTTTCTGACTGCCCTTCATGGCTTGCGGGATCTTAGTTCCCCAACCAGGGATTGAACCCGGGCCCACGGCAGTGAAAGAGCTAAGTCTTAACCACTGGACTTCCAGGGAACTCCCAGATCATTCCCCTCGCAAGCTGCTTTCTCTCTGCCGTCTCCCCCCAGTCAGCTCACGGTGGCTCAGCCACGTGGGAAGTATTTAGGTCCAATCTTGAGCAGAGGTGGCGGGGGGGGGGGGACGCTTTTTCAGGAGCTCCAGGCCCACACGTGGGCTCAGCATGGATACTGCCATCATAGGCCTTGTGCCTGACCCACAGGGCGGGCCTAGCTCTGTGAACTGCGGCCTTAACTTGCCTCCTGCTCTCGGCAACCTCCTGGACCCAGCCCCTCCAAGCCTGGCCACTGCTTGCTCTTCTCAGAGCCCCTGCCTGTGATTGCATGGTGGCTGGGGGTGCTTGAAGCCCTAAAAGGGTGGCAGGGAGGGGAGAAAGCGTGGGAGCTTTGGGGCAGGGACTTTGCACTGAGCTGTTGCAACCACACTTCACACCACCACCCGGGTCTGTGCTCTGATATATCTGCTTCCCACTGCCCTCTGTCCTTCCCGCTCCTCTCTGGCTGGTCCTGCCAAGCCTCTCCACAGCTCCCACAGTAAGTGAAGAACTGCTCCCCGTGACCACATGCTTCACCCACACCCTCATCCCTTACCTGCCTCATCCCAGCCCTCCTGGCCCCGGCCCACCATGCACACAAGGCAGGCAGTCTTGCCCGGTGACTGCGCCGGTCCACCCCACAGTGGATGTGAGTCTCTTCTATTCCCCCCTCCCTCCCTCCCCATCCCATTTTCTCTGGCTGACATCACTTCACTCAGCTCACAGAGTCTGCTTCTTTAATCACTTTGGTCAAAACAAATGACCCATCTCCGCTGACTTCACCCTCTTTTGAAATTCTGCACTGAGTCAACACTTTCCTCCTTGCTTCAGACCCTTAAACATTGCCTCTCTGCCCACACACTGGGCTTCCTTTATGAATCCTTCGCCTCTGTGCCCACCTCTTCCAAGAGGACCTCCCTCATTAGATGCAGGGATGCACAGAGGAAAAAAAAAAATCCTAGGTGCCAGACAGACATAAAACATACAGACAGTTACAAGAAAGGGTCAATGAACTTGAATAAGAGGACCGTGCGGTCCCTCTGGGCGGGCAGGGGTCTGGTTCTTTTGCTGCAGTGATTTTCAAGACCAATGGCTTTCCGCGGGCAGAGCCCCTACTTCAGACAGAGCAGCTCTTCGTTTGTCTGGTTTGGATACCTGGTTTCTGTCAAAGGTTTCATTTCAAGAGAGTGCTGCGAGGTCCAGCAAGTTTGAAAACCACTGGCCCAGAAGGGGCTGGCCCACGCCTGGCTTCCCCCATGGGTCCTGGTTCAATGCCTTGGACCCACATCTGAAACTGTCTCATCCCTGTGGCAGCCCTTCAGGTATCCGAAGACCGTTATGGGCCTCTGCCCCCCATCCCTACCCCTCACTCCACCTCAGGCCTTCTCCCTGCCCAAGCCAGACACCTCTGACTTTTTCAGCCACTGCTCAGACCCTGGCTAGACGGGCTGATGTCCTTCTGCCAGGGAGACCCAGCTCTGCTGGGGTCTGACCCACACGCTGCATGCAGGCGGAGCCCTCACCATGGTCCTGATCAGGGGCCTCGGCCAGGCCCTTCTCTCTGGGCCTGTCGCCCGTCAGTGTAAGGAGAGATTTGCTCTAAATGCCCCTAAGATGCTTCCAGCTTTAAATGTTTTGAGTTGGATGAGGTTCCTGATGGGAGGTCCCTGCTCCCCACCTCTCCTGGGTTGGTGAGTCACTCCGCTTGAGTGTCCTCCAAGGGTGACACTCTTAAGCAGGGCACAAGGAGAGTTCCACTATGGAGACCCAACGGGGGCTTACCCTCTGTCTTTAGAAATTTGATCCAGAATTTGGCTCCCAAAGCCAATGCCTTTCTCCCTCCAAAGTTTTCTTTCTTCCTTCTTTTGTATTTTTTACCCAGACCAAGTGTTCAGGGCTTTACGGAGCCTGGCTCCTGGCCTTAGGGTCCCTGCTCTTCCATGGGGCCTTGGGTGGAGGTTCTGGAAATCTGCCGGGCACCCCCAGAGTGCCTGCCACCCCGACGGCCTGACTCTTCAGGCTCGGAGGGGGCACATCTTGGCACCTCCAAAAGTTGCCGGAGGAATCAGGAAGTGGGGCGATGGTGGAGAGGACTGGGGACCAGAGAGGGGGCTGGACCCACAGCAGGGGACCGGCGTCCGGCCCTGAGGACCCCCCTCCCTCCCCCCACGATGGCTGCACAGCCCGGGACCTCCCTGTCGTACCTGAGAGGAGGGCCTGGCCCGTGAACTGCCCGTACACGGAGGCAGCATGGGGAAAGGCATTGAAGGGCGGGACCGAGGCACCTGCTGGGACCCCGGAGCCGACTTGCTGCAGATCCAAAAAGGCGGAGCTAGATAAAGAGGAAGGGGTGGAGCTAGAACTGGACACCTCGGGGGTTTCCTGCTTTATGGCGAAGGGTGAATGAGGATCTGCCGGAGGGAGGGAGACAACAAGGAGAGAGGGGTGTGAGATGATGGGGTGGGAACATGCGCAAACCAAGCCATGAGGTGCGGGATGGGTGCGGCGGCGCGGGGCCGGTGGGCGGGCCCCCCCCTGAGGCTGGGCGTGGGGGGGGGGGGGGGGGGGGGCTACGCGGTGCCCCTCAGGCCGCGGGAGGAGGGGAGGGGCGGCTCTACCTCCCTGCTGTGCCTCTGTGAATGTAGACGCGGCTGCGTGTGCCCCGCGCTGGGGGGCAGGCGGAGGACCGGGGCCGAGGATAGAAGGCGAGACCCTCTGGACCCACCTGGAGGCCCAGCCAGCATAGCCCCCCTCTCCTCTCCAGGCCCGGGGCCGTAACACCTTCCTTCTCTCCATCCGCCAGCTCTGCCCTCCAGCCCATCCTGGCAGCTGGGGCCACATGGCCCAGGAGATTCCGGGCATCGTACCTGCCACCACGGGGTAGGTCTGATGAGTCGAGAGGTTGCGCCCCAAGGGTGTATTGGAAGGGGTCAGGGTGGCCTTCCCGTCGTCCAGGGCGCTGTTGAGCAACGGCAGCGGGTAGAGGCCCTGGCGAGCAAAAAGCAGTCAGTGCACAGAGGCCGTGGGTCGCAGGCCCACCTAGAAACCCCGCAGCCCAGTCTCCCCAGGAGACACTCCCTTCCTCTGTCCCCTCTTCCCGCTCAATCTCGACTCCACCTAGCCGGCTTAATTGGCCCTTATTCTCTGACTCACAGCCCTCCTGTTTTTCTCCCAGTCCCAGGCTCAGGACCTTCCCTTCTGCAGCCCCGGAATTCAATGCCGGCTGGTGGTGCACAGGCCAGGCACAGAACAGAGCAGCTCCTTCCAAGGACCACGCCCTGCCTGGACGCTGGGCTCCTTCCTGGTCTCCTCACCCTGTCTGGGCCCACAGAGAACAGGATGCAGGGCTGGGGCAGTTGGCACATGAGACCGTTCAGGTTGCTTCACTCCAGTCATTGTTATTCTTCTCCAGATCAAAAATGCAGGCACAGAGAGGTCAAGAAACTTGCCACACTCTCACAGAGGGCAGAGCCAGGATTTAAACCCCAGGGGTCTGGCTCCAGGGCCCATGCTCTCAACCGCTGCTCTGCAGTGGATAACATCATGACCACTTCTTACACTTGCAAAGAGCGGACAATAGATTTTGCCTGTGTTATCCTGATCCGTTGCCCCCAGCAGCCCTGTGACATGGGTGAGCAATATTCTGTCTGTTTTATATGCCGAGAGCCTGAAGCCCGGAGAGGTAAACGTCCCGGGTGCGTATGAGACAGAGACTGAATCGAGGACAGCAGTTCCTGACCCGGGCATCTTCTCCTTCAATAAAATGACACACCCGATACCCCAGCAGAACAGGTGGATTTCTCTCCCCCCGCCCCATATCCAAGCAAATATAAATGTGCACGTTCAGCTTGAAGATTAGAGGGGTTAATATGTTTAAAAAATTCTTTATCAGGTACCTGGGGATTTTCTTAGTTCTGACCTCATTTTAGATTTCACTCGGCCTCCCCTAACGTGAGCAGGCCATCTCCTAAGACGGCCTCCAAGAAGAACTTGTTCAATGAAAGGCAAGGGTACATCACCCCTCACCATGACTCCCTCCCACCGGGGCACGAGACAGCACACACCTGCTCCCCGTACATGGATCACACACGTCACAAGTGCACTGTGTGAACTAGTGTGCAAAACTGAAATCAAGGCTTGCTCCGTGGTTACATAACGGCTCCTCTAAAGGCAATCGCTTTCCATGATTCCCATCGAGCTGGGCTCTCCAAGGGGCCGCAGCAGTTTCTGGTTGTGTGCCAGGCACTTCTGGAAGAGGCAGTAAATTCTGGAGGCCACAAGGGCGCCATTACCATGTAGCAGCAATTACTGACTAGATGGCGCTCTGGTTCCATGCCTTGCGAGGGGGCTTCCTGCTTCCTAGGCAGGATGGAGTTGCTTAGAGCCCGGCTTGATGAAATTGAACAAGATGCCTAATTTCTAGAGAGTGTAAGAAAAGTTCGAAATGCTTTATGGATATGTTGATTTGATACCAAATGCTTTCTCAAAATCCTATAACTTTCTAAAATTTAGGCAATTCAGTGAAAGACAAACCAACCTATATAGTCAGACATTTCGGTGATGTTGCGCTGAATGGCTCAAACATCCCCATGATGACTGGGTTTCTTACTGGGATTGAACTTGAATTGGGGAGCAGAGGGCACAATGCTTTAGGACTTGGACGAGTCTGAGCCCTGGATCTGCAAGTAGCTTTAGTCTCCTTGACCTTTCAGAGCCTGTACACCTTTCTCACCTGTATAACAGGGCTAATGGAATCTGCTTCACAAGGCTGATGTAAGGATTAAGTGAGGTTTTATAGAGCTACATTAAATGCTTAGCCCAGAATGCTTGGTAACACAAATGCTCAATAAATAGCTATTTCAGAGTTATGTGAAGAGTCATAAGCTCCCCAATTCTTGAGTCTCTGTCTTCATAATATTCACATTCTGGTGATAAATCTGCTTCTTGCACTTGTAAAATAGAGGAACAAGGGCTGTGCAGACGCCTAACTACGCCTGGTGGTAAATAGCAACCAGAAATGAGGCCACACGAAGTTTCTGTTGAATGTTTTGCCGCTTGTTGACTTTACAGAAGAGATGGCCATGTCTTCGCCCCATCCTGAGGTCAGGTGTGAGGACCTGTGCTTCTCTCCTCGCTCCCTAGGCCGGAGGGCCTTCCTGTGCCCAGTGAGGATACACGGAGTCTTCCTTCAGCAGTGCTGACGGCACCAAGGGCGGGAGAGGTAAGGAGCCCCGGGCACAGGCTGGGTTCTCCCTGTCGCTCACCACCGAGCAGGGGAATGAATGAGGGAGTAGATGATTGGCTGAGGGAGGGAATGAATCAATTATGGACACGGCTAAACCTCTGTCTCCTTATCTGTAAGGTGAGGGGTTGGAGTAGTGCCATGGTTTTCAGGCTCTCTTTTTCCAGTCTTCAAATAAGAACTCACATAGGAGCATCGTATTTAAAGCAGGTGAAGTGAACGGATCTGAATGAAACCAGGGCCGGCAGGTCTGAGCTCCACAACCATTCGTTTCCCCAAGCCCTCTCTACCTTCTCTGGCCCTGGGTCATCTCCACACAAATGGAGAGACTGGACTGGGTGGGCCCTGCGGTCCCTCTGGCTCAAGACTTTCCACTGCATGACTCCCCACGTACATATGCCAGCTTGGTGCTGGGTCTCGGGGCTCCTTGTAATCAAGCAGGGCCCCTTGTGGGGCTCAGGAACAGAGCCAGGAAATGGCTCTGTGGCCCAGCGGGTCTCAGCAGCAGAGTTTCTCTCCTCTACCAGGACGCGGGTTCGTGCAGGCTCCGAATCACACAGCGGGTTCCCGCAGGCCCACCGCTGTGGCCCCATTCGGCTCCCCCACCCCCGCCCCGCCCTGCCCCGGGAGCCACGTGCTGCCTTGAGGCTGAGCGCCCGGGCCCTCTCCCCAGGTCTGCTGACGGCCAGCCTTCCCTGCAGCCCTCCTGGTTGCTGCAGCCCGGGCTGATAACATCGCTGACGCAGAATGCCTGCCCAGCTGCGTTGCTGGCATCGGGCCAGCGGCCCAGACAGTCACTGGCAATGGCTCAGCTGATGATTGGCATCGTCACCATTGGCCTACTCAGATCTTAAAGATGTACGGGCACACCTCGCTCCTAGATCCGATGACAGCAGAGAGGGGTGAGCAGACACCGGCCCAGGGAATCCTCAGCTGGTTGACCAGGTAGGGTGAGGTAGGGAGACACTGCAACTGCAGCGTTGATAAAAGATCATGAACCGAGAGGCCGGCGGGCCTGGAAGTTCGGACAGAGGTGTGGCGTCCTTATTGGGCTCTGTGGGAGACCTCGGACATCTCTGCCAGCTTTTCGCAGAAGCCAACCCACGATAAGCCATTTCACCTGCCCTGAGCACCGGAAATAAAACTTCCCTTGTAGCTTGTAGTTTATTGTGCTGGATTTCTCAAGGCATTCGCTCAATCTGCCTTTATTGAGCATCTGTTATAAGAGGGGCACAATGTTAGGTGCTGGAGACAAAAAAAGATGTTTTGGGATGCTGCCCTGTCCTTAAGAGATGTGCTGTGTCTTTATATCTCTGTCCGCTGGGCAATTACACTACCCCATGAGTCCTGGGGAGCCGCCACCCGGACGTGCAGAAGCAGGGGTGCGGGCGAGATGAAGCGTGTCTGAGGAGCGAGGAAAGATTCGTGGACCAGGTGGTGCTTGAGCTGAGTCATAATGGCCGAGTGGTATTTTTCCAGGCAGAGAAGTGGGAGGAAAGGCATTCTGCGAGGAGGGCACACTGTGTGCTGGGGCAGAGGGGTGTGAACAAGGCTCACGGGGTGGGCAGGCGTGAGTGGCCCGAGGCGGGGCTGGAGCTGCTGGTAGAGGTCACGCTGTAGAGGCCGGAGCCGCGGCTTTATTGCGTGGGACCTGACCCCGCCGTCTAGGGAAGTCACCGCGGCAGGGGCATGGCGTGGTTGGCTGCATTGCCCTAAGCTCGGAGGCTGTGGGTGAGGGAAGGCCACAGAGCCGGGAGGATGAAGAGGAAGAAGCTAGCGTCTGGTGAAACAAAGCCTGGGACGGCCTTGGAGCTGCAGGAAGCAGGCCCCTGAGCCCATCAAGCAACTCCTAGCTGCTTCCAGAGCCGCAGGCTGATTAGGGAGCTTTCAGAGTCCTGCCTCCCCCCCCACCCCCGTCTGCTAACCTCCCGCGCCCGGCTGGCCCCTCACCTGCTCGCCTTTGGTGTGGCTCGGGGAGACGTAGGCCTCTGGGTACGGCTGACGATCAAAGGGGCACTCGAGCGGCTCAAGGTGGTGCTGGCTGAAGGCGTCCGTGCGAAGGTGCTTGCGGGGCCCGCTGCCACTGCTCTGGGAGTCAAGGCTCAGCCGGCAGCTGTCCTGGTCACCTGGCGGGTGTCCCCAGGCAGGGAGAAAGCTTTCAGGGGCCCGTCCACCCACCCCCCGGGCCCGAGCTGGGGAGTAGACTTGCTTCAGGGGAGGGAAAGGACCAGGCTCCTGGGCCTCAGGGTGGCTTAGAGACAGGCCCGAAAGCCCTGGGCCGCAGGGGGCTTGTGTCCCATCAGAGCCTCAGCAAACTGCCCTCCTGCGCCCCCAGCCTGCCCTCTGGTTCCCACAACACTCACTGTCGTCCAGTTTCCTCTTGCTGTCGCTGCCAGGCTGCGCGACCCCCAGGAGCCCGGTGATGGAGTAGGTTGAACCCAGAGAATCAGACTGGGGAGACTCTGGGGGCGTCACGGCTGAGCTGGGGACTGCAGTGGGGCGAGACGGAGGGTCAGGACGTGAAACTGACACCCCTCAGAGCCCCTGCTGCCACCGTGGAGGGGTCAGGGGCACCGCTGGTGCCAGGGTTCTTGCCTGAGGTGGTTCCACCCCTGAATATTTCAGAGCAAGGCTGTGTCCCGACAGAAGGGCTCAGTCTACACACCTGGTGTGTCTGTGTGGACGTGTTTGTGTGTGACTCTGGGTGTGTACGCAGATGGGTGTGTGTGTGCGAGGGGCTGGGTGTGCCTGCGGGACCCTCGGTACTCACTCAGCGTGTGTCCTGGGCTCAGGGACTTGGTGGCCACGCAGCCGTCCATGGGAAGGTTGAACGGTTGCTGCACCTTGGTCCGGATGATTCTGTAAGGAAGACAAGAAAGGCCCTTAGAAGAGAAGGAAACAGGGCTCCTGGATGCCCCAGATCCAGCTGCCTTTTTTTTTTTTTTTTTTTTTTT